ATCTTCTTCTTCTTCTTCTGCTTCTGCTTCTGCTTTTACGGCGGTTGGCTGTTTTTTTTTCTCCTCTCTCTCTCTTTATTGAACATTGTCAACAGACATTCAGCAGATCATGAACATTCTTACACAAATAAGATTTAGGTATAAAAAGTAAATGTCAATCAAATGAAATCTAAAAAAATAAGGTATCTAAACATAATGATATCAAAAATCAAAGTATCTTAACAGGGGCTAAAGAAAATAATGTTTTATTTATTTTATTTTATGATTTAAAATATATAATTAAAGTAGTATATATATACACACATACATACATATATGTACATGTATATATTTACTAACATCTACCCATGCACAGTGGCCTTAGTTACCTCAGCAGATGCCCAAACCACTATGCTAAGTTTTCTCGACTTAAAAGTTTCAGTGGACTGCACTCCTTATTAGTAAAGTTGACATTTTGAGTTAGCTCAACTTTTTTCAAAGGGATTTGTTGACTCAACTTTAAAAAAGGTATTAGTACAACAAATTTGAAGTTGGACTTTTTAGAGTGTAAGACAAGAAGCATTGGTTTCACTTTTCAGACCTGAAGGTTGCTCCTTAGTTGAACATACATTACTGCTTGTTTGTCCATCTAACATCAGATCATTAATTATCAGTAAGTCAGCACAGCAGGTGAAAGCTAAACCAAACTGTAATGGATGTTTTGCTAACCTGTGAGCTTGACTACCTGTCTGAACTATGACATCAATGGCTCTAACCAATCACAGGTGTGTTCATGTGTTGAGGAGAACTATAGCATGTGACTCCATGTGATTTCTTTGCTTATTTGCTTAATTTTGTGATAACATTCAAAAAGTAGCACAAAATGTAGCTCAAGCGCAAGTTCAGACAGGAAGACACTCACTGGTAATCTCTGTCTTTCCTCTCCTTGTAATTACTCTATCAGCTGATTGGGGGCGTGCACTTTTAAGTAACCAACCAGATTCGTCACACAGTTTCTTTCAGCAAATTAGATCGTTGCTGTCAAACTTTAAAGTGTTCTCCTCTCTGCTGCTGTCAGTTGTCATTTCAGCATTAAGCAGATGCGAAAGCATTAAGTTACCCTTTGCAGCTTAGCATTTTGTTGATACTGAGTATGTCGGACTCCGATTCTGATCCTTTTGTAAGACGTGCAAGTCACAGTCTCGATAGCCAGCCGGAGCTGGCATGCAGCCGGTGCAAAAGCACTCGCCTTGGGCGGCGTAGCGGCTCCCACCCAGACGAGCAAGAAGCCCTCTTGGCTCAGCTGGAGGGTCGTGGCATTAATCCAGCACCAGGCCTTCCGCTGTCCCAGCTCCGTCAGCTGATGAGGCTCACAGTTGGCAGCGATCCAGTGGATCCCCCACCTGCGGCTGGTTAGAGGTTAAAAGTATGTAATTGGCCCCTTCAAGTCCTCTCCATTCACCGTGTTTCGCACCAGTCCTATAGGGGTAGCCAAGGGTAAGTACTCGGGGAAGAAAAGGTTAATCTTCGATCTGTCCGCTCCTCGTTCCTGCCCACTTCCAAGCGTTAACAGCCTCATCCCTTCCGAGCTATTCTCTCTCCATTACGCCTCGGTTGACAATGTCATTAGATTAATAAAACTAGCCGGTCAAGGCGCATGGCTCTCCAAAGCAGACATCACTGATGCGTTCAAAATTGTGCCGATCCATGCTTCCCAGTGGCATCTCTTCGGAATCAGGTGGGATTCCAATTTTTATTTTGGGGTACGGTTGACTTTCGGGTGCAAAAGCAGCCCGTTTATCTTCAACCAAGTGTCCGAAGCACTTTTCTGGATACTACTTAATAGAGTCAGGGTCCCAGCTGTCCTTCATCTGCTGGATGATTTCCTGCTTATAGATTCACGATAGTTCAGGCTCTTCGCTAGATAAATTGAAACGGTGTTTCCACTCCCTTGGCATTCCACTCTCGGATGAGAAAACCGTGGGGCCAGACACATGTCTGGAGTTCCTGGGCATCATGTTCGATACAATAGACATGAAAGCGTCTCTTCCGATCACGAAACTGCAGCGCATCCGCGAGATTACCAAGTCATATTGCACGGCCGGGAACATAACAAAACAGCAGTTACTCTCCCTGCTGGGGCATCTTAATTTTGCCATGCGCGTCATTCCACAGGGATGCTCATTCATCTCCCGCTTGTTGGATTTGGCATCTTCCGTGAGCAAGTTGCTCGATGTAGTGTATCTGGATGAAGGGTGTTGCTCTGACCTACGGTTTTGGTCTCGTCTACTCGACCACTGGAATGGGGTTACATTCTTCTACGATGATCTGGTGAATTCCTCGGATTCTTTGAAGTTTTACACAGATGCCGCACCATCCGTGGGTTTTGGGGGGTTCTATCAAGGCCAGTGGTTTGCTGAACTGTGGCCCCCCGCTTTTGCAAAGTTTGAAAATTCCTCAGCACTGTATGAGATTTACCCCGTTGCCGTGGCCTGCTTTGTCTGGGGGCAGCACTGGAAATGCAAGCGCATCTCCGTCATGTGCGACAATCAAGCAGTTGTCAATATTATCAATAGAGGGCACTCTTCTTCCAAAGATATCATGCCTTTCATGAGAAGCATCACTTGGGCAGCCGTCACCCACAACTTCATGATCACTGCCCGCCATGTGCCAGGTCATTTTAATACTCTGGCTGATTCACTTTCCTGCTTTAAATTCCAGGCTTTCCGGAACATCTGTCCAGAGGCCAGTCCCGTGTCAATAACGGTGCCCTGATGCTGTCTTAAAGCAAAGCCACGTGGGAGATTATATGGAGGCAGCTAAAAAATATATGAGGAAGGGTTTAGCAGTGTCTACTGTAAAGATGTACGATTTTGCTTGGAGTACTTTCGCTTTGTTTTGTGTTACAGTTGGCATGCCTCTTAAACCTGTTCTCATAAACACAGTTTGTGCCTTTATTTGCTATTGCATGGATGTTCGGCATTTTAAACCTCCTTATATTCGTAGTTTGCTTGCCGGCCTTCAATTTAATATTAGATGCTATGATCCTGCGGCATCTAGTTTGTTTTCCAATGCAGCCATCAAATTACTGCTAAAAGGTATTGCTAAATCTTTTCCTCACCTGCCAGACCGTAGACAGCCTATCACGCTTCCTATATTGCACAGGATGCTTACCGTACTCCGAGCAGGTGTTTTCTCCCCTTACGTTGATGTCTTGCTCGAGGCGGTGTTTTCATTAGCTTTCTATGCTTTTCTCAGATGTGGCGAGTTTACTACCTCGTCTAATTCCTTCAATTCTAACATAGACATCACTTTTGCCGATTTGACTTTTCATACCAATCATTATGACTTATGGCTCAAGCACTCCAAATGTGGTGCTTGCTCTTTTGTGGCTCGCGTAGACTCTTGGTTTTGCCCGTTCCTATCCATGGTTAAGTTCCTACGGTTGAGACCTATTACGGGCTCCACTTCTCCCCTGTTTCTTACCCCAGGTAATGGTCTGTTATCAAAAACTTGGTTTAACTCTCATTTCGAGGTTGTCCTCGCTAGACTTCACTTATCACCTCAGCTATACTCAGGGCACTCTTTTAGAATAGGGGCTGGTACTTCAGCGGCTAACCAAGGCATCTCCGCTACTACCCTAAAAAAATTGGGTCGTTGGTCATCCTCTGCCTTCACATCTTACATCCGCCCCGATCTCAACACCATCCTCGAGAATCAAAGATCATTGAAGCCTTAAAATCCGGTAAGGAATGCATATAACTGGTGGTGGTGACATGTTCACGTCGACGGTTATATTATTGGTTGGTCATTATTAGTATTAGCTCATAGCAGGGAATAGCGTTATATCCTTCTGGAAGTGTTCCTTATAGTAACACTAAGACATTTCTCTAGCGGACCGTTTTCTCCATCTGATTGGTCTAACACTGTTTCCCAATCTCCTGGTCTCACGTGACCTGGCTTATCGTGACTGTTTTCCTAGGTGACCGTGACCTGGCTTAACGTGTCTGTTTCCTGGTCCGACGGGACCGTTTTACTTTCCTAAAAGAAAAGGAGGTTTCTGAGGTGCCCCGTTTCTAATTTCCTGGTCCGTATGATAAGAGACCCGTCCAGAGTTGACAAATTTCTAATTTCGCAGTCAGATATGACATCATTTCTATTTTGCGGTCCGAATGATGTGAGACCTGTCAAAGTATGACATACGTTCTAGTTTCCCGGGTGAGCTCACCCGGTCTGGTTGTGCTGAGGCAGTGAGACCCCAAACATGCGGGGGCCGTAAGACCCCCAACCATGCTGTTCTACGTTCTCCCTTGAACACCCCTATTCTGCTCTGCGGTCTAAACGTGACCCCGACTATCCTACGCTGCGGTCTAACATGACCCAACCTGTCCTTGTCTGCGGTCTAGCTTGGCCCTCACCTATCCCGTCCTGCGCTCGGACCCTCCACAGGGCCGACCCCGCCATATGTTTCGGGATCTGTTGAAATCCTGCCATTCTCCACTAAGGGCTATATAGACCCGCACTATCCTGTCTCTGCGGTCTTCCAGACCACCGTATCCTAGTCTGCAGTCCATCATGACATTCCTCTATCCTTTGCTTTAACTAAAACTGGACCTCTCACCTCTGGTCTAACATCTACTCGTTCATGTTCTACCCTTAGATTTCTCTCATAACTAATTTTCTATTTTCTTAGGAAATTCACCAGAGCAGTAGGTAAGGTATTTATTTATTCATATAAATACATTTCTTTTGGGGGATTAGGCCTATTGGACCTCAGTATCCCTACCCTCAGTGATAGTACTTCAGGATGGAGTCCAATCGCCAAAGACTTTGCACTTTTCATATTTGACGCTTGTATAATAAATCATTGTTAAATTATAAAACAAGTCTCTCCTGATTGAAATAAATTGAGTAATGACACACAAAACAGATGTCAGCTCATTTACTGGCATTAATTCATATTTGCATTACCATGACTGTTCTCACCCTCTGCGTCTGTTCTTGTCTCTGCGGTCGAACAGAGTGACAGTGACGGCAGCCTGTAACATGGACTTCAGCCGCTTTCCTCTGGATTCTCAGACCTGCTCACTGGAACTTGAGAGCTGTGAGTAAATGTTCATTTTATGGTTATTTTTTCTCTGTGTGTTACATAATGTAACAAAACACATTTTATTGTGCGCTCGTTACGGACATGGGGGTGCTGTTTGCGCTGAGAGACAGTGTTGGGGCCCCAAATTTCCCGTTGTTTTCTTTGGTCCCGTTTCAGGTGCAGGTCTCTCTCATGGTGGAGAAACACCAAATCCATTGACGTACGAGAAGTCGAGCGGTCCTATTCAGTTTCTATGGAGAGCAGGAGATGCGGCCGTGCTTTGCATGATGGAAATGGCTCAGCTCAAGTTGACTGACCGTTCGCCGTATCTGAATTTGCTTAATCATGACTCAACCTCAATTTTATGCAAATGAGGTCCATCCCATTGCAAGCCAGCAGGCTCATTAAGCTCAGATCAAATTGTCAAACTAGGCAGCGCTGATCCAATATGAATGAATATTCGGTTCATGCATTTCCTTTTTTTTTCACCTCCCGTGTTTTCAGAATCATATTTTACTGTTCTGCTGCCAAAACCCCAGGCGGAGCTGGTGGGATGTGTTTGGGTTTTTTAATTAACTGTTTGAAAACTGGCACTTTGTGTAGATTTATCTTCAGGTTGAATTAACTTGAATTTCAGCTGTCCGTCGTTGCTTCGCTGATGGAGGATAAGCTTTATTAAATGTTCTGAAACCAATTTTGAAAAATGAAATATATGTACTACAACAGTGTCAAAGAATAATATATAATGAAGCCAACATACATATTGATCAGTCAAAACAGCCACTCTCTTCATACACATTATAGTCTACAAACAGTTGAGGAATGGTTGCAAGTTCAATGTGATGAAACGTCGCAAAATAACCTGAAATCCATTTGTATTGAAATTGAAATTGAAAAAGGCTGTTTTCTGAATAAAAAAGAATCATAAACCAACCGATTTACCCTCCAAAGTACAAAGTAGGCCTATGTTCAGTTGTTAAGTGCATCCTCACTCACCAGTGACAGACAAAGCAGAGGTAGAATTAGAACTTAAATGCACTCTTTTAATGGTAACACTTTATGATAACATATATATAATTGGCTGAGTAGCATCACGTGAGATAGTTTACAATGCATGTAATTGGTTGGTGTGTACAGTGTATCACAGCTGATAAGAGCCAACAACAATAACATTGTAATTACACAGTACACTATATATTAACAGTTTATGGTTGTACACATTATATAATTTGTAATACTATATTCAGTTTTCTGTGAATGATTGACACATAATTTGTAACTAAGTTGTAACCGATGATTATAATGGCCACCCAAATAATGTTTAAAGATGCACTACACAGCCTTTATCAAAGTATTAGGCTATAAATCAGTTGTAACTTCTTAATAACTATCCTGATGTTTATAAATGGTTTACAAACCAGTTATTAACCATTGTCAAAGTATTAACTATCTATCTTAATAGTGTATAGATGCTTTACAAAGTATATATTGACCATTTAAAGTATTACAATCATCAACTGAAACTTTACAAAAGCCATCCAGAAATATTTTTTAAAAGGGTTAAAAACCAATTATTAACCATTAACAAAGTGTTACAAACATCTGTTCCATCTATCTATGTAATGTTTACAGATTTTTTACAAAATATCTGCTGATCATTAGCAAATACTTAATATAGTATATCAAATTTAATGTGTTCAACAATAAACTGTAAAAATAACAATTCATTTTCATTCCTTTGTTTCCTAACAATGAAATAAATATTAACAGAAGTTTAATTAACTTTGAATGTTTTAAAGAAGTGCTTATTCATCATCTCCCATCACGTTCACACATAAACACATGGCAACCATGGAAGACATCTGAGCAGGTCAAAATGGTATACACTTCTGATTATCGGGGGCATGTTTTTTGGTTTTTGATGATAATTCATTGTTGGAAGTGACTGAGCCTCTATTTGATTGGGCGGTGTGGTGTTTTGCAGACGCCTACACGGATGAAGACCTGATGCTGTACTGGAAAAGCGGCGATGAGTCTCTCAGCACTGACGATCGCATCTCCTTGTCACAGTTCCTCATCCAGAAGTTCCATACCACGTCTCGCTTGGCCTTCTACAGCAGCACAGGTACACACACACACACACACACACACACACACACACACACAGGACTAACTATATGCTGATATAAAATAATTAATAACACTGTGCACAACATGATGATGTGAATAACAATTATTTTGTCCGAATGAATCACGGCTGCAGTCAGCTCTGTCTTCAAGGCGAAGGCCTACAGACACCCAATAGGCTTCTTTGACCCCGTGACTTTTCCTCCAGCTCTACCTTCAGGACAGATGTTATATATTTAGCGCTGCTTTAACACTGCTGGCCAATGGAGTTTGAGTCAAGAGGAAAAGCCCTTTAGCAGCCGTTGGAATTATAATCAAGCAAAGAAGGAAATTAGGTGGCGTTATTGTTACAAGGTGACTTTCAAGAGAGTCTTGAAAGTCTTTTTTTTTTTATGTTACTTGAATTCGATGAATTCATTGTGAGAAGTAAACGTCTCTAAAGATAAGGGTCAGAGAGCAAATGCACAGTCTCCCATAAAAATACTTTAAATGACTGGATGTGGTGAGTACAGAACTGTACTCACCACATCCAGCCGAATAGCTAAATAGTCCTTTATTAAGTATACTTTATATTGAAATGTAAACTCCACTTTTAGCCAATGGGAATATACCAACACCTGCTCCCTGCTGCAGCATTGTGTATCCCCTCCAGACAAACGAATACTCCTTGGTTTGGATTGCAGATGTTTCTTTATATCTATCTATCTATCTATCTATCTATCTATCTATCTATCTATATATATATATATATATATATATATATATATATATATATATATATATAGAGAGAGATATATATCTCTATATCTCTCTATATACTGCATATATATATATCTCTATATCTCTCTATCTATATATATATATATATATATATATATAGATATAGATAGAGAGAGAGAGGGAAATATATATGGACTAATTCAGACAAAAATCCAATGTGTCACCTACATTTGGTGTATACTTTTTATATATTAGAGGTCGAAGGTCATAGATCTGGCTCCAGCACATTTTCAGGACTCTTTGCGGTTTGACATCATTACATCATTAAATTGATCACATTTTATACTAATAATAAGGATTCTACATACTCTGTTTAGGGTGATATTAGGGCTGAGTTTTGGTACGACTGGTCCTGAGATACAGAGGTCGCCACTCAATATATTTCGATGTTGTAAGCAAGGCAATAATTGTGTTTTTTCAAATCTCATTTTAAGGAAAACGTCGTACTATAAACCATCGTATGCATTAAAGAGTAAAAAAAGGTTGAACCTACTTTATGCAATCAGAACAGTGGGATATGCATATACATGTATCACAGTCCCTGGAACATCCAGCCTCATAGTTCGACTTTGAGAGGGAGCATACACTGAGAGGGCACAAGTCTTTGCAAATGAAATCCCTAGTTAGTAAGCACATGTCTTAAATGTAGAAAATCAAACCTCATGTGTGAAATGTGAAACGTTTTGTATGAACCTGTTTCTACACTGTTAAATCTTTGAGCGTCTCCTGCTGTGATTTCAGGCTGGTACAATCGTCTCTACATCAACTTCACGCTGCGACGCCACATCTTCTTCTTCCTGCTGCAGACATACTTTCCCGCCACGCTTATGGTGATGCTCTCGTGGGTGTCATTCTGGATCGACCGCCGGGCTGTGCCGGCCAGAGTGTCCCTGGGTGAGAAAAATAAACTCCGGTTAAATGTCCTTTTTTAATTTATTTGTTTTTATTATTTAACCTTAATTTATATTATAGAAATGGGGTCTCAATCTCAAGAGAGACCTAGTTAGGACACAACAGCAATATGACACAAACTTACAGACAGACACGACCTTCATACAAAATAGAACACAAATCATAAAAGTGACATGTAAAAAACTGTCAGACTCTCCTCAAACGTGCAGTCATTATTTACTTTTGTTGTACATCCCTTTTCTAACGAGGGATGAGGACAAAAAGCGGTCTCATAATAATTCATGTTCATGCAAAAATGAATCATATGGGACTACTATTCTTTAATTTATGGGCTATTTGGGATTTGTGGGGTAATGCATAGCCTTTATTTGAAAAAAAAGTGGCATTTGAATACTGATTTCAACGTCAATTACCTTGGCAACAGTTGGAGCTTCAGAGCATTCGGGTCAGTTTTATTATTTTCATAAATTGTGAAAAGGGTGGGACCTAAAACTGAACCTTGTGGGACACCTTTGGGGAAATTAAGAAAGCTGGAGGAGAGACCACTGAACTGCACACATTGCTTATGATTGGAAGGGTAATTTGAGAATGAACCTGCAGCTTGATTTGACAGGCCTGTATCTGATGATCTCTGGTGTAATGAATAAAAAGGGCAGTGCAATAGTTCTTGGCATCCAAGGCTTCCACAATGTCATTTACTACTTCAAATGCAGCAGATATTGTGTTGTGCTGCTAACTAAATCCAGACTGATGAGAAAATAAAATGTTCAAGCACATGTATCCCTTAGTTTGGTCATTCATCAGCCTTTCACAGACCTGAACTCAAATCGAGAGCTTGTAAATGGGACTATGGGATCTCTGACAGTTTTTCAGTCATCAGGTATGACATTGTCTTGTATAGAGAGATTACAAACGTGTGCCACTGGTTCAGTTATAATATCTGCAGTCAGTTGTAAGAAGATAGTGGGGATATTGTTAGGGCCGGTCGATGTAGAGGGTCTAGATCCTTTAAGGTCGTTACAAACGTCCCTCAGAAAGAAATGTGTAAAAGAGAAAGTGTATACTATTGGAGGTATGACTTGCAGTCAACAACAATATTGGGAGGCAAGAGTTGGCAGACAGAAACTTTATAGTATGCCAAAAAACTTCCTTGGGTTACTTGAACTGTGGTAAATAATAATTGCTTTTGACTTTTTTAATGGGAGCAGTGCAGCAATTACGCAGTTGGAAATGAAGCCAGTTTGTTCATCAAATAACTAAAACAAGCAAGGTCCAAAGACCAATCAATAAAACACAGTCCCATTTCTAATGAATGAAATCATAAAGGAAGGCTCGCTACAGTAATTGAGATTCCTGTTCAGAACAATGCGAGGCTTTGCCGACGACACAGTGATGGCTTAGAGCGTATTGACAAATGAAAAGATTGATAAGCGTTGATTCGTCTAGACGTCTGTGTTTGAGACGTGCGGGGCTTTCAATGACTTGTGTCAAGTTAAAAGACAGACATTGAGCTTTAAACATCATCTGGTGAAAAGACAATCCCAGGATGATTTCCTTTAAATGCAATTGAGATTAGATCTGCGTTAAAGAATAAAAATGTGTCTTTGTTAGCAGAAGAAGGAGCTTTAAAGAGATTGTGCGTGCCTGAGGAAAATCTGTCTGTGAAAAGATGAAAGCTGGCTCCACCAGTCGGGAACACACACATGCACACACAAACCTCCCACTCTCACTTTTCTTTTGAGTTATTTTCTGTATTGGGGTTGTTGCTGTGCTTGTTCTACAGGCGTCAGTTTTTTACCCCTCGCTGAGATCCTCTCAAGGCTCATGTCATCGCTCTTGTTAAATTCAGCTGATAGAATGGGATAGTTTTACAAGACCCCTTTTTATATCTGTACTGCAGTCTGTTTTGTTTTTTTCTCTTTGGTTATTGCCAATATAGAATTATATCCTAATCCCAATTAGATCTCAATCCCACATACACCATCCTGCTGCCACAAATCACTAGAGTACTAAATGAGTATGAATCTGCCGCTGAAAATAGTCCCCAACAAATGCTCTATTTTCTCCGGCTACAAACTACAGGGACTTGCTCTTTGAGGAGTTTTTTCTTTTTAATTGAAACTGTATATTTGTTAAATGTTTTTAAAGATGTATGTATTCAATAGGAACCAATAGGCTTGGAGCTCAGAGCCACATACAGAGTAGGAGAGTCAGAAGGAGACTTATTATTGTGTTTTGTCTTTTCATAAAATCTGTTGAAAATTGAAAAATAAAGTACACTTGACTTACTTGTAACTAAGTAATTTCTACACTGTGGTTTAACTGCTTTTACTTTAGTAAAATCTCTTAACTGATACCATTTCATCTGCACCTCTTAACAACCGTGCTGACTGGGTCCTTCACAGAGTATTCATTGCAGGCTGTTGGACCACATTGCATCATACTGTATAAGTGGTCATGTTATTGCTCCAGCTGCCCAACACTGGGTCTACTTCCTGATCCAGAGCAAACCATTAAACTATACTGTGAAAGTAAAAATAGACAAACTCAGTTTCAAACACATTTCCAACCTGCAGTTCACTTTAGTATAACTAGAATGTTGTGTATCTTGTGTCCAGGCATCACTACAGTGCTGACCATGTCCACCATCATCACCGGAGTGAATGCGTCCATGCCCCGGGTGTCCTACATCAAGGCGGTGGACATTTACCTTTGGGTCAGTTTCGTCTTTGTCTTCTTGTCTGTGTTGGAGTACGCCGCCGTCAACTACCTGTCCACCGTCCAGGACCGCCGGGAGCGCAAGATGCGAGAGCGGGCACGTTCTCAGGTTTGTTTCTGCATTGACAAAAAAAAGGGCATGCATTATAAAAAAAAGCATCCTTCTCCCCGTTCATGAGCCACAGTCCCTTTAGCTGTTCCGAGAACTCCGAAAGCTCCAGCCACTCTCACTGACTCTGCAATTTCACCTACATCAACATCTCATGCCAGAAATACAGTACGTTCAACACTTCTGTTCTTTTCAGTTAGCCTGTTGAACTAGAATAACTGGATCTGGTTTGGGTTGAATGGAGGAACTCACTCAACACATACGTATTGTTAAAAATCTCCAAAACACAAAGAAGCAAAATAGTAAAAGCAGAACAAAACCCCTAAAAAAGTAGCTTAAACATTAGAGCACCCTGAACAATCCTCACTTAGACTTTATACACGGTTTGGCTAATGGACTTCCACAACTTTTCTAATACTTTTCATGACCCGAGTCTGTGTTTGCATTACAAGTAGTTATGATGTGGTGTTAAAACTAACCACAATACCAAAGTACCATTGTATAGAGCAGAGTTAGCCAACACGGTCCCTGCGGGCACCCTGTCGCCCGCAGGGACCGTGTGAGTCGCCCGCAAGACATGTTCTAAAAATAGCACTAGTCTCCGTCTAAAATTGTAGTTGCTGTTCTTTTTTAATCAAAAACGCTTGCAGAGAGTTAAGATAGTTGGGTACCCGGAGGCCAGGACGAGGCTGCCGCACCGCACTAGGTTTTCAGGTTCTGAATGGCGGGCGCTTCCCGTTGGTGCCAGACGCGAGCCGCGAGCGCACCCCGTCGTCAGGTCCGTAAATCCTCGGAACAGGCCGCGGGGCAACAACTCAGGGGTGGCGGGGGTAGAGGCGAGGCAACGCAATCCGACCAAAAAGGCCCAGACTAGAGGTTTGAACGCGGGCGCCCGAAGACGCTCGCGCACCTCGGAGGGTTGGATCCCCCGCTCGGCTATAGACGAGACTGTTTACTAGTTTCTTCGTTGAGAAAAAGGTAGCATTGGAAAAGCTGGTGACAACAGACGGGGCTCCCGCGATGACGTGCCGGCATGCAGGCTTCATTGCGCAATGCAAAGGTGACCCAGACTTCGCAAAATTTCTACATTACCACTGCATCATTCACCAGCAGGCACTATGTGCAAAAGTAACCGGCTTTGATCATGTGATGATACAAAAATATCAGAGATGTGATACCTCTGACTTTCAAATGTTGAAACAGATTAACGGAAATAAAAGTTGCATGTTTAAATATGTATGTGTAGCTATACCATCATTGTTGTGGAAATCATTCTCAATAATTATTGTGAGGAATAATTAACTGACATGTGATCAAACAGTCTTTTCACATATATTATTATTATTATTAAGGTGATCTGTGCAATTTTGTTATTCAGGAAGTTTGTATCAAATAAGTAGCCCTTCTTACTACTCGGTACCCTTGAAGTAGCTCTCAGTTTAAAAAAGGTTGGTGACCCCTGGTATAGAGTAACAAAGTTATAATTCAGCATTATCTTTTATCCACATCTTATATCACATCATATTATCATTGTGGAGCCGGTTATTGTACTTGAAGTGCATGTTTGTGTTTTTCACCTGACTGTGACTTTTGAGTCACAGTCAGATTAAAAGTAGTTCACTAGTTTAGGACCCCGCCTCAGCCGAAGGCGAACCTACGTAGATTATTTGGAGCGTTGAGGAATGGTTGGTGGAGATTAGCCAGTAGCGGTTTGGGGGAGGCTTAGTTGAGGATCCACTGCGGCTCCAGGGCCTTGCAGATCCTCAAAATAAGTCCTCCTGGGAAGCAGGGTTACCTGCCCGTGCGCGGGTCGATGAAGCTGGCGAGTGTAAGTTGGTAGGCGTGGGAAGGTAGGTTATCGACGGTGGAGTTCTGCTGATCGATGGTCGGCAAAATCGAGTAAGGATTTATGGGTTTAAAGACGGCGTTGGATATGGCGGAACGTCAGAGGGAGCGGCATCGTTGTGTTGACCAATTGTGTGGGTCCATCGCTGGAAGTGGACGGCGTGGGGGCACTGGCATCCCGGTGCCAAGTGTCCCGGCTATGGCAACTTGCTGTGGTTGCTGGAAGTAGGAGGTGGTGGAAACTAGCATCCGGGTGCCAGGTGTCCCTGTTACGGCAACTTGCTTTGTTTTCTGGAAGTAGGTGGCGGGGGGCACTGGCATCTCGGCTAAGGCGACTTGCTGTGTTTGCTGGAGGTAGGCGGCAGAGGGCGCTGGCATCCCGGTGACGGGTGCCCGGGCTAGCAACTTGCTGTGGTTGCTGGAAGTAAGTGTCGGGGGGCACTGGCATCTCCGGTGCCAGGTTCCCTGGCTGGAGAGGGCTGCTGTAGTAGGCCGCGGATGTTCAGGTTCTCCTGCCAGGTTTGGCTGATGTGGCTGCTTGGAATGGAAAACTGGGGTGCCGGGTTCCCATCCCACTCGCTGCTACCGTGGAGCAGTCGCTAGGAACATGGGAAGCTGTATGACCGATAAATGAGCAGGAACAGTTCTCTTGAATGAGTGTTAAGGGTTACTTGTAATCTACGACGAGTGTTGTAGACGGCTTGGTAGCTATGCTCGTTAAACGTGGCTGAATGGACGGTTCTCAATTTGTCTGGAGATGACCACGAATTGCTGCGGGCGCCATATGTTTCTGTATCGTCGTGTCGGCTTACGTAGCCACGCTGCGTAGGTTATATTTATGCGTTATGTAGCGGCAAAGGCACAAATTGGATGAGCGAACGATTGGATTTGAGTCAGGTCGAGACGAACAGCACGGTAGATTAATGGTTCCATTCCGGTTTGGATGTCGTATAATGTTTCATTAGAGAGTCCTCTAAGGGCAGATGTCCCACTACGTTGTTGCGTTGTTGCTTGCTGCGTTGTTGCTTGCTGCGTTGCATTGCTGCGTTGCATTGCTGCGTTGCGTTACGGCGTTCCGTTGCGGCGTTCCGTTGCTGCGTTCCGTTTTATATTCTGTTCTTCCGTGTCGTCATGCTACGCCGTCACGCTACGTCGTCACGCTATGTCATCACGCTACGTCGTCATGCTACGTCGTCACGCTACGTTGCCAAGTTGTCGCGTTGTCATGTAGTGTTGAATTTGTTACGTTATGTTGATACGTTACGTTGTTCGGTAACGTGCACTGGTTGAGCGAGCGAGGACGGATGGTAGCATTAGCTTGGTATCGTGCATGCTATGTACTATGTCGCAGAGTTTGGAGTGCGCTTAGAGAGGGGGACAGAGGAAAGAAGATCTGGCAGCCCGGTGCCTGGGTATAGGCAAAAGAAGGGTGGTGTAAGGGAACAGCGAAGGGACGGACGGGTGAATCCGGCCAGAAGGTGGGATGGAATACTGTGAAAATTGAAGGGAGGAAGCGAGAGTTGGCATCTCGTTGCCGCTATGGAAAGTTGAGTTTGCCTGAGGTAGTGGAGGGGGATGAGAGGTGACGCACTTCAACCTGGCAACCTGGAACTTTGTGGGTGGGAGGGCGGAGCTTAGGGGTGCGTGGGTGCGTCACGTCGTTGGCGTTACGCTGGTGTGTTTTGGATGTAGGTACGTTTGTTTTTGTTTTTGTTTTTCCTGGCGTGACTTTTGGAAAGTTGTGAGGAGTTGGCACAGTTTTTCTTTGTTGTCGGAGCGGTGGTGAGGAATCCCTTTCGATGCTCTCAGCAGGCGGACTATGGTCCAGTCGGAGATCTTAGCTGGTGCGTCTTCGATGGGGGACCTGGCTGGAGTGCGGGAGCGGTGGCGGCGGCTTTGAGCACAGCGTGCCGGGTAGCCAGATTCGTCGGAGACTCGTTCCCGTGAGCTGGGTCTGGAGCGAGCGAAGAAGGAGAGAGCTTGATTTACATTTCCGTTTTCTACATCTGGAGGTGGCAGGTCTCCCTCTGTCACCGAGATGTGAGTTATTGGAGGACGGCCGTGGGTGTGAATCTTCGTATTGTCGGATGCTGGCGGGTGGATGCAGCTAGTCGGCGTGGTAGAGATCGGCGGGTTTGGCTGCCTGGACCCTCTCGATGGCGGTTGGCGGCATCTCGTGGGAGGCAGGTCGAGTGCTTCCCTGGGCTGTACGGGTGGCCTCTGGGGAGGCGAACTGGTCGTCGTCGCCAGATGGGCTGATGAACAGAAGGTCCATGTTGGCGAGGTAAGGTTTTTTTTTTTTTTTTCTGCGTGGCGTTCCGGTTGCGAGTGCGGAAAGCGCGAGCAAGCTGAGGCTTAGTCAAGAGGTAATGCTGACCTTTATGAAAGTCAGGTCACCAGAGTTAAATCTGATTATCCCCTGGGTACCATGAATATTCATAACAAATATTATGGTATTATTGCCTATAGTTGTTGCGAAATCTCGTTCTGGACCAGAGTGTTGGAGCAACCATCAAATTAACAATCGCCCATGACTTGCATGGCAAAAAGGTTTTTAGCATGTATCACCAAATTAAACCATCTAGGACACAAATGGGTTTGATTACTTATTTTAACACTTACCTGATAATCCCCACAAAATTTGTTTAAAAAAAATCCCTTGTATCACAATAATGATTTAATTGGATGTTTCTTCCCTGCCAGTCACTGCCCTGCACCTGCGGGATCTCCCAGACGCGAACCATGACCATGTTGGATGGCACCTACAGCGAGGCCGACACCAACAGCATGGCCGGCTACACTGAGGAACCGATGGAGCCGGAGGAGGAGCAGGAAGAACTGCATGAGGTTCCGGAGAAGCCCGAACACATGGTGGTCCATCTGTCAGTGAGCAGCGAGTCCACCACCACCAAGAAGAAGAAGAGCCTGCGTGCCCTCAACATCATCCAGAACACGCACGCCATTGACAAATACTCCCGGATGATTTTCCCTGGTTCCTACATCTTTTTCAACATTATCTACTGGTCCGTCTACTGCTGAAAGATGCTCCTGGGTCTGGACTGAAACCAGAGAGATTAACAAACAGACTGCATCAGAATGGGACACTAACTCAAAGCGTGCTGTTGTGCTGGATGTCTGGTTCTGCAAAGTGCAAGTTCTACAAAAAATTTAGCATTGAGACTGTGTGATTGATTGAGGATTGATTTGATTTCGTTTTTTTTCCTCATGTAGCAATTTGAATGTTCATTAACACTAACTATAAACAAGGAAAATAGTCATTTGAATGCTGTTTTCAAACTACTGATGCTGATGAGTCTTTTTCACCTTCATTACCTGTCAAGTGCTGTTGAAAAGCTCCTCATTACGACTGTTCCTGCCAACTTTGGTAGGAGAAAAAGTTCATTTTTGTATTTGAGTCTTACGATTGATAGAAAGTTAATATCTGTGAAATACTTAATTGACAGGTCTCTTTACATTTATTTTTTTATAATGATTGTCAAGCTGTGAATCATCATGATTATTATTCTACTGTCCGTCAGTCATGACTTCATTTTAAACAGCGATGACGCCTGAATTTCTAGTATGTCAAGATAACACATTCTGACCATATTCTTTAAGCCTGTTATCTAAATAAGATAATGTAGGCTGTATTTTGTGGTGCTTTTAGCTTAATGTTAATGCCAACATGCTAACATGGTCATGTTAACAGTAGGACGATGTTTAGCAGGTAACATTTACCATGCCCACCATCTTGGTTTGGCATGCAAACATTAGCTAGTACAACTGAGGCTGACGGGAATGTCATTAGTTTTGCTGGTGTTTGGTCATAAACCAAAGTACTGTGACTGGATTGAAACTGGATGATGATGGTGCCAGGTGAAAACTCTGGATAACCAATGGTATTACAATTCATTCCTTGGAGAACATGAATGTGTGTACCAAAGTTCATGGTAATCAATCCCATAGTTGTTGATATATTTCACTCAAAACCAAAAAGGTCAACCTCATGGTGGCACTAGAGGCAGATCAAGTCCGACCATCACCAAAGCCACTAGGATTCACCATCTGGAGGAAATATGTCTGTAGAATTGCAAGACCATCCATCTAATATTCTCCAGAATATGTCAGTTTGGACCAAAGTAACCACCCCTGAACCTTCTCTGGAGCTCCACTGCTAGCATGGATACAAACTGTTTTCTAGTGATGACTTTAATGTATCTTTTTCTGAGGATAACAGGCTTCAGTACTCCGTGGTCAGTCGGAGTGAATTTCATCAATGAGTCTTTTCTCTCTGTCGTGACATTTAAGTGATGTCCATCCAAATGTAGCCCAAATTTTAACCGAATTTCCAGAAAAGCGTTATTTGTCATGTGAATATTCAACACCTTCTCACTTCCAACTTGTCAAATATGGCAGCAGTGGCCCAAAGCTACAGACTATGATGCTCTACGTACCCCTCTAGCATCAGGTTTGGACGTGTCAGGGAGGGAGTGTCAATATACGGATGCATGCAGAGTATCTTTTCAAAATCAGAACAACTTAGATTAAGGAAAAGAGCATGGTTGACATTATGTGACTGACTTAACAATCACGTGACAACCGAATGATAACTCACGATAGTAACGACTTATAACCCCGATCAGACACGTCTGAAACACGTCGCTAGAAATGCAACCCCCACAAAACCATTGTTGTTATATGGTACAGCGCGCCTGGCGTGCACACCTCGCTTGCGCCACGGATCATATTTTTTTTAGCATTTTTAGACCCGCATAAAAGTTTTTTTAGTCTCAACTTTTCAGCACCAGGCGCGGAGTCATCAAATCAAGCAAAAGGCGAGCTGCAGTACTTTACCACTGCCTTTCTGTTTTGATGCCGGTAGATGTGGTAGGAACGGACAAAGGCAAATGCAGATCCAAGGTTGATATAAGTGTTTTTAAATTACAATGATCATTTCTCCCCTCCTCTTCATCCAACAGCAGAGCCACAGCAGACCTTGACATCTGCTCGAAACCAATTTTTTTCCCATGTTAATTACATTTGGCCTGGTTGAGCACGCAGCCCAGCTCCACAGGCTGTTCAGCCTAATGACTCATGGTAGAAACAACTCACGTGACTAATGACTCATGTGACTAGCAACTTACGTGACTAATGACTCAGGATAGTAATGACTCAGGTGACTAGTGCCTCAGGATAGTAACGACTCACGTGACTAGCGACTCACGTGACTAATGACTCATGATAGAAATGACTCACATGACAAGTGACTCACGTGAGTTAAGCGAGCAACGATACTAACAACTCCAGTGACTAACGACTGAAGTGACAAAATAAGTCAACGATGACGTTTAGTCTCACACAGAACACAAACAGCGGTCTCCTGGGTGAAAGACCTCTTTTTGTATGACCCATCTACCAACACTCCCACCTACACACCTCAAGCGTATTAGGCACTGAACGAGCTGTGGTATTTGATGTGTTGGGAGTGAGAAAGGGTTGTTAAATAGGTGGGTACTAAGCCTCATGTCTATTGGCATTAAACAAGAAGAAGATGGCTTAACATGATATAATTAGAGGAGCCCTGGTCCAACCTCAAACGTTGGAAAAACCATATGGGAAATGGAACAATTCTATTTGCTTTATATATTAATTTGAAGAACATTGCAATCTCCTCATCGCTCCACGTGGGTTTTTGTGGTTTAATTGATAAGGCAGGTGGATGGAAGCACAGCTGAGAAAGAAAATAAATATCTTCAGATAAAGTAATTTTAGGGTATCTATCTTCAGCACCACAACACAATTTAATCTCTTGGTGAAATTTGAAATTCAAGTAATGTTCTTGAGATAACAAACCTAAAAAAATATATTCAGATCATGTATTATTTACTGGTTTTGTATTGTTGTGCTGTTCTGATTTTATGATGATTCTCTAAAGACTACAATGACTTTTTGGTAAACTTTTGTAGCCAGGTAATTTTCACAACACAACACTGAATTACTTAAAGGGTCATCTTATTTATTGTGAAATTTATAAGTACTGGAGATGACTGTGGTGATATACAGTATGTGTTATAATATCTAAAAGGTTTATTGGCCAGTGGGACATTTTCTCCTCAGGTCACTGTAGTCACTTGTCCTCGTGAGCAAACAGAATGAACAAAAGCTGGCTTAATAAAAATGAACTCGCTATTGAATGCAGCCAATTACTCAACATCATTTCAGAGGGATCTTGTCTGTGAAATAAAGGTTAAGCGCACTATTTGGTTAAAATGTATTTGTATAGCACTTTTTAAAAAACAACAAAGGTTGCCCAAAGTGCTGCACATACAGTAGATAAGCAGTCATACAATCAAAGACTGGATTAATAACAGTAAGTGACATTAAAATCAAGACAAACTGACACAAATCACACGAAAGTGCCGTGTTCAGATCAAAAGTGATAGGCCAGTGAAAATAAATAGGTTTTTAAACGACTGTTAAGCATTGGTAAGGTGGATGACAACCTAACATGAAGGGGAAGGTTGTTCCAGAGCTTAGGGGCAGCAACAGAGAAGGACCGGTCGGCCCAGGTTGTCATTTTTGTTTTTGGAACAACTAAAACCTGTTGGCGGAGAGATCTTAGTGAGCGAGGTGGTATAGGGCTGCTTCAGGTCAGACAGATAGACTGGGGCAGCGCCATTTAAACACTTAAAAACAAATAACATTTTAAAATTAATTCTGTACTCTACAGGTAGCCAATGAAGGGATTTTAAGATCTGTGAAATGTGTTCACGCCTGTGTGTACCAGTTAAAAGTCTCACTGCTGAGTTCTGCACCAACTGAAGGCGTGATAGAAGTGTTTTGCCGATTCCAGCAGACAAAGAATTACAGTAGTCCAGCCTGTAGGTGATAAAAGCATGAATAACTTTCTCCAGGTCTTTTGAGGATAGAAAGGCTTTGACTTTAGCTAAGAGTCTTAGCTGAAAGAAGCTGACTTTGACCACGGACGCAACTTTGACCACGGACCCAAGATCACGCCCAGATTTTTTACATGGAATTTGCAGTGGGTTGCCATGGGGCCAAGACACAATGAGGGATTGTCCGGTATAGCAGCTGAAAGGCGAGAGGGATTTATTAGCATGATCTCTGTTTTACCTTCATTGAGTCATAGAAAATTTTGCGAGAGCCAGTTTTTGACATCAGCCAGGCAGCACATTAAATAATTTATTGAGGCAGTTCCAGGTTTGAGGGGAAGGTATATTTGAATGTCGTCGGCATAGAGGTGATAAGAAATGTGTTTCTGGAAAATGGATCCAAGAGGCAGCATGTACAGTGTGAACAGTAGTGGGCCCAAAATGGACCCCTGCGGTACCCCACAGGTCAGGGGGGCCGGTTGAGAGGAGCAGTTGCCCATGTTGACAGAGAATGATCTGTCGGTCAGGTAGGACTTAAAACATTGTAGGGCAGTACCTCGGATGCCGACGGAGTGCTCAAGTCGGGAGATTAAAATGTCGTGGTCCACAGTGTCAAAAGCAGCAGAGAGATCAAGTAAAAGCAAAATGGCGGGATCTCCAGCATCAGCAATGAGTAAAAGGTCGTTAAAAACTTTTAAAAGGGCAGATTCAGTGCTGTGAGACGTTCTAAAACCAGATTGAAAAACATCACAGATGCCGTTTAAGCTGATAAAAAATTGAAGCTGTTGAAATACAACTTTCTCAAAGATTTTTGACAGAAAAGGCAAAGTGGATATTGGTCATAAATTTGATGGGTCAGAGGGTTCCAGATTAGGTTTCTTGATGAGAGGAATTAATGTTGCATGTTTAAAACAGACAGCTGTTTATGATTGACAGTATACATGGTCCAATTTCAACAAAAACCTGCTTAAAGAGACCTGAGGGGATGATGTCAGAGTTGCAAATTGTAGTTTTTAGTTGAGCAACAATTTTAGTGAAAGCTGGGAGGGGAAAAGGCTTTAAATGGTCCAACACAGCAGAAGAAGTGGGAGAGTTACTTGGATCAATGTAGTGGGATGTAACACCAGACCTAAGTTCTGAGATTTTGTCCTGGAAGAACCTAAGAAAGGTGTCGCACGTTGTGATCGGGGGGGGTTGATAACAGAGTTAATGGTGTTGAAGAGAATTGTTGGCCTGTGGCAGTGATTTGCAATTAAGTCAGAGAAGTAGCTATTTCTAGCTGACTTAACTGCATCCTGGTAGTTACTGAGTAAGTTCTTTAAGATTTCAAAGGACACATGGAGCCTGTCTTTCTTCCATTTTCTCTCAGCCCTCCTGCACTTTTGCCCGAGCGGCTTCATTTAACCAGGGTTGAGGTTTCAGTTTGGGGCAGTATGACCTCAGGGGGACACTGTCAAGAATTGCATGGCAGGTGGAGTTAAATTTTGTTAAAAGATCCTCTGGAGGAAAGTGCAATTGGGTGATATCATTCGTTAAAAACAGTGGCGTGTCTCTGAAAGCATTTAAAAACCATTGTGCAGTACTGGAGGTGATAAAAGGAGAGTAGCAAACAGGGACAGGTGGGGTTAGTGTGTGAGCCAGCAGTAACCGCTTCAAAGATGACAAGCTTGTGGTCCGAGTACGTTGCTTCACATTTCACTGATGTTTACAGAAACACCAAAAGATAAAACAAGGTCCAATGTATGACCATGTACATGAGTGGGACCAGAGACTAGCTGCTCAAGATTAAAAGAGTCAATCAGGTTTAAAAAGTCATTCACCATTGGCTTAAAAGAACAACACACGTGAATATTAAAATCACCAAAAATTTAAATACTATCATATTTTGGGAAGATTTCAGCTAATAATTCAGAAAACTCCAGGATAAAAGCACCATTGTGTTTAGGAGGCCGATAGACAAGTGCACATAAAGTTATGGTGGACTGTGAAAACTCAAAGAGTTGAAGCTCAAAGCTGGAGAATGGATCAATTTTAACCTGGTGGCAACAGAGACAGCTCCTAAAGACTGTGGCAAGCCCACCACCTCTACCAGTCAGCCTGCGAGAGTTAATGTATCCACAGTCAGTAGGGACAAGCTCTGAGAAGGCACTGTGTTCGTCTCTAAGCCAGGTTTCTGTCAGACACAGAACATCCAACTCGTGGGAGTTTAAAAAGTCATTTAAAATGAATGTCTTGTTGGTCAGTGATCTGACATTACCAAAGGCCATTTTAATCTTCAAGCAGTTTCCAGCCACTGTGGAGGCACGGCTGAATGAACGGAGGTTGGAAAAGTTCACTCCACTGTGGTGACGGAGGGACCGGGGTGGTGGCCTCACTGATGTAACCGTCTGTATGGGAAACTCAGCTGCTGCAGATGGCGGATCGCTGCGCCCATAGGGGGAGCTGGTGGGGTCATCTGGCTGATGAATGAACATAGAGGAAGAGTGACAGAGGACAGGGGATCCAGGATTACGTGTGGTGTAAACAGTCAATCATGTGGATTGGCTGTTAGTACTTCAGCACCATCTTTGTTCCGGTGTAAACGGTCTCTTGCGTAGAGGCTGGGACGATTCCAAAACAAGTTAAAGTTATCAATTAAACCCACATTGTGAGCCCTGCAAGCGGACTGGAGCCAGGTGTTGAGTGTGCGGATCCTACTAAAACGAACGGACCCGCGGCTAATCGTCGGAATGGGACCAGATAAAAACAGTTCCTTTCCTGATTTTTTAAGAAACTCTAGAAGATGGTTAAACAGTGGTGGCTGGTCAATAGAGGGCGCTAGGGTGCCGCCCCCCTTGAGCTACAAATAATAAAAATAATAAAAAATAAAAATAATAAACTATACAAATTGTCAATATTTGTGTTTTTGAAATATGGAATCACCCAGTAATATGTGTAAAATATGATATCTGCGGTAAATATATGCTTTTCCTGCACGTCCTCTCCACGTGTGCACGTCTCAGCTGGCTGGGGCGCTGGAGAAACTGCCCAAAAGAGGCGGGTCTATGAAGCAGTTTAGCCAATGATGCTTTAATGCTGATTAAAGATATAAATGAGTGACATACAATTTAGCCAATCAGCGTCCTCAAATAGATTCAGCTTTTTCAGCTGCGCGTTCTTGTCAGGAGAAGTCCCTACAGGTGCCATTTTAACGACATGACAATGGCGAGCGAGAGCACTAACACTACTTCTCCAAGACTCAACCCTAACTCTGTAAAATCTCTACTCCAAGACCCGTTTGAGAGGAGAACTTTGGCGGAGAAACTACAGGTAAAGGAGCTGGGCCCAGATCAACCTGACCTCACAATAAGACAGCAGACTAGCGACAAAGGGAAGCAGTACATGCGAAGCTTCTCCAGAGACTGGTACACGAGGAAGGTTTGGCTAGCTGGATGCAGTCGTGCTAATGCCGTCATTTGCTTTCCATGCTTGCTTTTTAAAACAACGGGGACAGATCCAGCATGGACAGATACGGGAGTGAGGGACATGAAGCAGCGGTGTGGTTTGCTCAAACTGAGGCACAGTTCGCCCTCAGAGACATTACAGCAGACGCGACAAAATATTAAAATGTCGTGGCGGCTCTCGGCAGTTCGACAGCAGGCAGAGTGGTAAGCATCCTTGAAAATCCTCCAGAGAGGGACAAGTACAATTCCTTGAAAGGCCGGCTGTTGAACATTTTCGGGCTTTCGGACTCTGAGCAGGCTCGTCGGTTGCTTTCTCTGAACGGCCTCGGCGACAGCAAGCCATCGGAGCTAATGGACAAAATGTTAGCTCTGCTAGGAAAACACGAGCCGGAGTTTCTGTTTACGGAACTTTTTCTGCAGCAGCTCCCGCTGCAGGTGCGGGCCACTGTGGCCAACACCACGATTACCGATTGTCGGGAGTTGGCCGAGGAGGCCGATAAGTTCTTTCTGGCTGGCCAACAAAGCTAAACAGCCGCATTGAGGCCGGCCCAAGCCACGGCGTGGCCGGGGGAGACAACAGTCGTCGCTGCGGAAGCAGCAGCGAGCCAACGGCGGGGAGCTACCGGCCTGTGCTATTACCACGCAAAGTTTGGGCCGCGGGTTACAAGGTGCCGTTCACCATGCAGTTTCAGCGCGACGGGAAATGCCAGGGCCGGCACTCAGTGACTGCCATGAGCGTCGGTTGGGAAGGCAGGCTACTGTTCATCCGGGACGACGTTTCCGGGCGGCGCTTTCTCTGAGACACGGGGGCACAGAGGAGCGTTGTGCCTGCATCGCGGGTGGACATGCTGAGAAACG